TCGAGGGGGAGCAAAGTCGCCTAATTATCCGCCTTTATTAATCAGCGCCGCTTCATCGCCTCTTGCACTTTAATCGCCCTTGAAACGGCGAGAGCCCGTTGGCAGAAATTCGAACGTCTCCTCCCGAGATGGAGAAGACGTCGTCGTTGATCCGATATTTACGCAGGACAGTGTAGAATTTAACTCCTTGTTCCTTATTCCTTCATCGTGTCTGAGCTCCAACGCTGGAGGTTGTATTGAGATAGGGAGAAAGCTGCGCATTCTCGCTGATTCTCGCTGCGGATTCGAGTCTTCGCGAGGGTTTACCTCCCCCCGCGAATCTACCCCCCACGGTGTCGTCTACAAAGCTGACGCGAAAATATTCGCGCGCGTTGTCGCCGATCGAACGGCTCGATAAATCCAGTCGTGAGCGAGACGACCGAGATTGAGTCATTAGTTACGAGGATAAGACTAATGACCTAATCCCCCCCCCCCCCCGAACGCGATAAATCAGATTGCCGAGCGGGTGAACTTATTCGATTTACATCGGCGGCCGAGCCGCTGTAACCGGGTGTAAATGGCGGACATTCGGCTTCGGCGACGAGTAACGTACGTACTCCGGCGGACCGTGTAGTAAATTCAGCGGTTATGAGCCGCTTCTGCGAGCACGCCCGCGCGGTGATTTACGCGCGGCCATACGCTTGACACGCGGCTAACGGCGTCGCAAGCGCTCCGTTCTTCGACGGAGAATTAATCCGCGATCTCAGGAAGCCGTCGACTCGCCCCCATCGTGACTTCGCGTCGCGATAAGAAAATCGGCCTTCCCTGCCGCAAAGCCGCGGGGCTTCCTTCCAGCGCGCGGAGCGACCCCGTGAAAGATGTAATTCCGCGTGGAATTTGGCTCCGAGGGGGAGGATTTCGCTCGATGCGAACGAAATAGCATTGAGCTCCTTAGATGTTCAATTATTGAGAAATCATCTTCGGCTAATAAGAGAGTCGCCCGAGGATGTTGCTTGGGTCTAGTAATTTTTCTCTTTGTTGGCCAGTCGCGAGGAGAAATGCGCACACAGTCGGCCTGAGTCGAAAAGGTAGTAACTACACTCCGAGAAATTGCTTAGTAATAGCAGTTAAATCTCACTAGCTGGCTTGAACTTTGCTGCTAAAAGTTGGCTATCAGAGGTAAAATACATTCGCTGCGAGAGGAGTATGTAATGCATATTACGTTATATATAATATAACTCATTGGGGTTACAAAACGACTCTAGGTGATCGTTTACATAAAAAAAAGAAACTACCCCCGGGTTAAAGATACACAATATTACGGGAGAAACTGAACTTCATTACGCAAAGTTGAACTTTTAATCGGAAAGATCACCGATCACTGTTATTTATAGCGGTCTATTCCGCGAACATCGTTATTCAATCGCGATATTTTCGAAATACAGTTACGTAAGGACTGTTAGCGGATAAGGAAGCTAAGAAATTACATTATCGATGGCGTTTAATCAGTCAAACGCGTTGCTCTTAATAGCGCGATGTTATATCTCGACGCGCGGCGGTCTGGCTGTTTTGCTTATGGAACACGCTTCGGAGAATTAGTTAAAAGTATTTAAAAGCGTTTTAAGAATACTCGGGAGATAAACGCTTATCGCGGTGATTTGAGGAAACGTTAACAACAGCGTTTTCTTTATCGGGAGAATTCCTGCCGACTCGACGCGCCAACTTCGGACCGACCACCCGTGGTTTCCCCGCGGCGATTAATCGCGAACTTGACGCATGGAAGATCACGTCCGCAGGCCGAACTAACGCCCCGGCCTCTGCCTGTACTTGCGAAACGATAATAAATTGCGGATATCGCGATATTCGGCTGAGATAATCCGAACCGGCAGAAGCGCGCGCGACGCGACGCGCGAATGCTTCACTCCGCTTTCAAGTAACCGTGCTGAATTATGGAGGTTGCGTAACTGGACACGTAAACTCTTCGCTTTAAGCCGTCGCGAGGGATAAATTATTCATTTCCTCGTGCGCCTGATTTCTATCATTATCCGCGAAAATAGATTCCGCGCAATCATCCGGCTAATAGAATCCGCGGAATACACACAGCGCACAATATCCTGGATGTGGAAAAAAACGATAATATGACGATAATAAGACGATAAAACGATTTCAAGTTATAATGTTTGCATAATGTTATATATTATAATATATTATTTAATCATTATACAATAATATTAATATATGGTTATAATATATCAATCTCGCTATATAAAAGTAACATTTAACAGTCTGTGCATGTCAGTATTGAATGATTTTTTTTCCTTCTCACTTTTATTTTTATAGTACTAAACGAAAAATAATGTTCAACTTCGAATGTGTTCTTTGTTAAGAAATTCGTCTTTCTAGCTCAATATGATTTTAATACGATTTTAACTTTCGTTATACTTTTAAATATCGAAAATGCCTATTCCTGTCATTTCTGCAATAATAACAATTCAAATCTTCATCTGTCTTAACAGACAGATTATTTTTGAACTAAAGGAAGAATTATAATTCTAGCTTTTTGTGATGAGAAAGATAATGTAATTTTTTCTACGAGTATGCGTTTTGCCGCCACTGGGCGGCGCGCGTTTGAAGAGGCGAGGACACACAGACGGGGCGAGAATATAAACGCGCCATGTACCGCGCACACCTTTCCGTCGCTGGATTTGTTTCCACGTAATTGCGTTTAAATGGCTCACGGTGAATTCGCGACAGACCCGCCGCGATACGAGGGAAGAGGGGCGAGGGGGCTTGAAAAATTAATCGAACGCATGAACATAAAATAATATCAGCGCGCGAGGAAATTTATCAATAAACGAATGCACCGGCCCGTGCGTACGCGCGTAACGCGCGAACGACGGGGATATGTTTTCGCGAAATTCGCGGTGATTATCGCTCTGATGACCCGCTCGCACATCCCCGCGCGATAAAAGTCCTATCTGGCGAGCAATGGCGGCTACGGTGGCCTTCAACTTGCGACGCGGTTCGAGAGGAGCCGCGTTCAATTGGCGCGTTTGTGACGACGTGTGAGCCGTTATGAGCGGTCCTCATTAGGGATGTACGTCTCGTAGAAAGATTATTTCACTATCCGACGTGTGTACGCGCGCGGCCGCGCGCGTACATGTATATGCGCGCGTTTTCCACGTGAAGATGATATCGATCGAGTGGTTAGCCTTGGCAACTACCTCTTGTGACTATCAACGAGCTTAAACACTCTCGCGTGCGCGAGAGAGAAGCGTTCATCTCGTGCAAGCGCGTCTGTCTATATATGTGTGCGTTTCACACACACACACACACACACAGCGAGGAGTCGGTCGCGCAATACGCAGACTATTGATTCAGCATCGCGACTTAACCGGTTGTAACGTCAACCGCGCGGCAGATTTATACGCGATATCGAGCGCGATCGACGAGGCGAATAAAATCGCGAATTAACGAGCTTGCGAAAATCCGGACGCGCTCGTCGAGCGAG